CTGGCCTGCCTTGGCCAGGACGCCGCACGGGTTTCTTCCGCTGTAGAACTACCCCCGTGACAGTAAGGCACAAAACAAAAGACTACAAAAATCAGAATGTTCAGCTTCTTCTTTCACTTTTACCCCCTTTTTTCTTACTTTCTTTCAACACTAACACTCTTCCTGTCTCTCTCTCTCTCACATCTAAATCATAGTCCATCGTCAAGTGATCAGACCATCGATGACCAACGACAAGCGATAGTGGTAAACCACTCTTGTAATAGGCAATATTTGTTAATAAGAAAAATTAAAACTTAGTATTGTTTTTTAGTTACTACGGTCTATGGACCCCATTCGTACCTCTTATTCTATATTGTTTATCTAAGAGACTAATGTCTCAACACATCAAATGGGTTTCAACTAAAACTAGAGGTGTAAATCAGGTTGTGTCAGGCACGACACGATCGTATGGGCCACGTTGGGCCTAAGATTTTATATCCATGGACCGGCATGGAACGGTACGACCGAGTAGGCCGTGCGGCACAACCCATATATTTATATTATATATATAATATAATACTTATATTATATAATTTTATTTTCAATCTTATTATATTGTTTCATTTTATAATTACATATATAAACAATTGTATACATCAAATTTCATATAAAATAAAATTTTAAGATATTTTTTTACTATTTTTTAATTTATGTTAATTTTTCAAAATTTTTAAAAGCATGGCTTGGCCCGGTTCGTGGCCCGACCTGGCCCAAGACTTGGCCCACGACACGACATAGGCTTGTGCGGGCTCGGGCCATGGGCCATGCCGTGATGACCCCCCCCCCCCAAAAAAAAAGTATCCCCCAAGGAAGGGAAGCACGACCTGCAATTTTGTACAAGCCGCACACGAGCCGTGCTGTGCCGACCCAGCACACAACCCGATTTATACCTCTAACTAAAATCCTCCTTGGCCTCCTCCCAAACTTCCAACCTTGACCAAATTCTTTCTAGAATCAAAATCCGAACACTCACAGCGAATTGAACATCTCCCAACTCACGAACCCCCTTTAATCTCTGTCTAATAAAGGAAAAGTCACTACAACAATTAAAGAAGCCAGAGAAAGTTGTCAAAACCTAACTTCCTTTAGATACCTCAAAAAGTGAAGAACATCTCTTTGTTGACCTTTCTCTTCTCCATCTTCCTCTATCTCTTCTTGCCCCATCTCTCCTCTACAACTCTCCTTAAAAACAAATTATGGTTTATGCTCTCTAATGCCATCTTCCTCATTATTGACGTTGATTCATGCCCACTAATGATGTCTTCATTCACCAATAGAACCAATCGTTCCTTTTTCAAGAGAATCAAAATAAACTTTATATCAATGGAGGTGGCTCTATTGGGTTTGAGGCTCTTGTTTAGTATACAGTGGTGGCTCTATTGGGTTTGAGGCAGAGGAAGGAAATTGTATCCAAGAGAAAAAAAAACAAAGATGTCTTTATCTTTAAGTCAACAGCATTGCTAAAGTGGAGAAGGGAGAGTAAAAATGTGAAAAGAGTAGTTGTTTAGTCTCACATTCTCATCAATGGCATTAAAATCATAACTGTCATCAAATCTTATTGATAGCGTGGTAAAATCTAATTGGAATGTACATGTATGTTATAGACCAAGCAGTCCATTTAGTGCGAGCTCATTTAGGAGGGCTTTCATACATTGGCTTTTTGACACTCAATTAGTTAAGAAACCTGAAATACCATGAAGTTGTGTTTGTTAAAAATCTAGAAACCAAAATTACACTTACAAAAGCCACCAAATCCACTTTTCCGATAAAGCTACCTCATGTAGTTTCTTTGAAGTAGCTTAAACAACATAACTTAACAAACATAGAAGCCACTGCTCCTTGAGCCCAGATTTCCTATAAACTTTTCCTACCCACTTTTTACCCGTCGTGATTTGGAGCCACACATCTCTTAATTCATAATAGAGATGTGTGACTCCAATTCACGGCGGGTAGAAAGTGGGTAGGAAAAGTGAGTAGGAAATCCCGAGTGCTACTCTTTGTTGTGTGAGCTCAGATCTCTTGAAGTAAAAAGTTTGCACACACAACATCTAGCTGCACATCGATAATATCTACAATATATGCATGCTAAATTTATGGGAATATATTTCTAATGTGCAATTGGATAGGGATGCTAATTTCATGAAAATTTGCAGGTACCCAACTCGTCACAACCTTAATGGGACTTGTGTACCAAAACCTTAGGTTTGGGTCTTTGATATCAATGTACTCAACATTCAAACTTTATTATATTTAATGTGGTACCTGCTCTTGATGCCCAATTATAAACTTGTATATATTTTATTAAATGTATCTTATATAGAAGAGTTCTATATAATGTCAAATATTTTAAAGTTGTATGTTGGATCTTGTTGAATGTTATTAGTTAATAATATATTTTGAAGGACTTTTTGATGTACTTTAATATTGAACTTGAAGTTTGATGTTGAGTAATTAGCATTTTTTTTAATGATTTTTTGGTACTACCAATCGTGACACATTTAAACCAACATGATTTAATGATAATCGAGTGAGATTGGTCGTTGCAGGTTTAATTGATTAAATGATAATCGGGTGAAATTGGTCATGGCAGGTTTAATGAGTTTGAAATGGGGTGGTTATTGAGAAATTGAGAGGAAAAATTAAACAGGTTTATAACCATAAGTGTTTATGCAGATTTAGGAATGGTAAGGACAATTTATTTATCGACATGAATGGTTGTGCTTTTAAAATAAAAACAGCTACTATGTCAGAAACACAAACACACACATTTGTTGATGTTTTGGTTCTTACCGTTTTAAAAATGGAGAAGTACGGACATGCCTAATGCAGAATTCTGAATTCTGTTGCAAATTTATAAACATTCAAAAGTTCAAAAACCCACACCTTATGCATCCATACCCACCCGTGAATTGACATCAATTCCGAGCTAGCACCTACCTCAACTGTACTTTGGGCCTATGAATTCTGACCCTGGGCTGAATGGTCATTCTCCCTTTTAAGAATGCAAAATTGCTATATTGATGAACACAAGATGTGAATTCTACTATATTTTAGCAATTGCTTTTTTGTATCAAATAAACAAAATCTCGTATAGTTGCATGCCCCTCTTAAGATTATCGAGGCATTTAATAGAATATTAATTAATGTACTAACAATGATAAAACAATAATAAGATGGTAAAAATTGAGTCAAACTATGACATTGAAAGGACATCATACTTTGAAGAACAATGATAAGGTATCATAATAGTGGTAACTAGTTAATGTTGTCAAAGTTTTCCTAGTATAATACCCTCCCCCATCATATAAATTGCCCAAAAAATATATAAACATTTAAATTTGAAGTTCAACTAGCATGCCATTAAGGAATGAATGGTAATTGATATATATATATAACCAATCAATTATAGGTATGATATTTAAAAAGGGTCAATTACAAGGACCCCTTGTACTATGGTCAACCGGTTAGATCCCTCCTAACTTCCACTTTATGACAAATACCTTGGCCATTAAATTAGCTAATAGAATGCATTAAATTACCAAAATACCCACATGAACTATCATTGTTTTATTCTTCTTCATCATTTTATCTTAAACACTAATTGAAAAAAAATACCTCCATTTTCTCCAAACGTAACCAACTAAAATAACAAGAATCACTTATCTAACATATAAAACATGTTTCTTTAGGTTAATCGTAATTAAAAATCCAACAAAAATAATACACTCAAACTTAAAATGAATGTCCCTCTTCATCTTAAAATATAAAAATTATTCACTCGTTTCTCTAACAAGCTAAGAAAAATAAGACAAAATCTTAAATTTCTACCCATTATAAAGATACCTCTACCATTTCATATGATT